ACATAATTAATTATTAATTGCTTCGGACGTCCCTCGGAGGAGTAGTAATCAATTAATTACGCGCCCCATTATCATCGTCCAACTCGAGGACCCTTCAAAACTTCCTCTCCGATGATTAACCAATCCATTAATCATCATACGAAAAAACGCAACGCAACGACTCGACCCAATATCATTCATCCACTACAATACTCATCAACCAACACGTACAAGAATCGTATAGAATCCCGAAAGAAAAGAAAAAACGTTACATGTTTCAATTCCATTTGAAAATATACGAATCACTTCATTCCATAACTAAATAAGTCACAAGTTCGTAATGCAAGTGAAATTAATTATAGTTCATAAATTAAGTTTAATTAGATAAATCTAATATTTTTTTCTTACATTCATAGTAAATATGAATCATTGGAAAAAAAATACAAAATAAAATGCAGAAATTTATTAATTTATGAAATTTATTTATATTATAAGCAACTAATTTTAAGAACATATTAAAAATTATAACAATTTTCACAATGCAATTATTGTAAATAAGATTAGTATAAAATTACGATAAACCCTTTTTGCTCAACCCGAAAATTGTAACCGTGCAAATTGGATTATCCGTTCTTAACTGGAAGAAAGAAAATAAATAAATAAAAGTTTAAATCTATTGGATTTGGTAATGTTTCGTACCAAAAAAAAAATAAGTTGAAGAATGAATGAGTCGCTTCTATTTAGTGTAAATATCCGTATTTCTGGATATATGGGTGAAATCCGACACTCTGTTATTCCGTTCCCGTTCGATTTATACACGTTTTTTTTTCTCTCATCTTCTTCTTCTTTTCGGGGGATCTCGTTTGATGATGATCTCGTTTGCTGGCTGTAATTTATAGTAGTTAAAACTTTATGGGGCCAAACAGAACGATGATGTACGAGGGTTTCGGCAGAGAGCGCAAGATGAAGAAGACGTCTGCTTCTCTCTCTCTTTATCTCTCTATCTCCTTGTTCTTCTTCATATATTTCTCTGTTTTTGGGGAGTGCCTTTTTGGCCGTTTCCTGTCTCCGTGTGGTGCCAAGCAGTCTGGCAAAGACTTCCAAAACACGCACACATAATATTAGTTAGCGGGTTCCCTCTTGCACTCGATGTCAACCCGCATCAAATTTACACCACACACACACGAAAAGATCAAATAAGAAGAGATGGAACGATAGAGAGAAAGAAATAGGAATGCAGAAGAGTAAACAAACTGTACGAGGAGGGTTTTGGGAATGGAAAAATTCAACATCTTCGTATCGTGTATTCTGCTGATTCGAATGCTTCTGCAATTATCAACAGAAGCGATTAACAAACTACTTGTTTTTTTCTTCATTAAATTATACGTTGAATCCTTGGAAAATGCAATGCTTACATTGCAATCCTCATCTGCATTATTTACAATTGTTGAAAGAAACAAACACTCTCATTCATGAAACTCCTTAAAATATCTTATCTCCATGTGCATATTCTTTCCACAAATTTAGATAAATCGTTTCAAAATAAATTCTCAAATACTTGATTATGAAAATAATATACAAGAAAGAAATTCACCAATTAAGAATTTTCTATAATTGAATTATATAAGTATTGAATTATATCAAAATGCATTCAAGAAATGTTTATTTCTTTCTTTAAATTGAGTTAATATAAAGTGTAAATAAAGTAGACAAAACTAGAAGTTTAATAAAGGGGAGCAGATTTTGGATATGTTTTCAATATTAATACGCAATCTATTTACTTTTTTTTTTCTTCTTTACTATTAACAAGTAAGGAAGTGTGTGAATTTTCGTTGATGCCATTGTGTGGCGTCTCCCAAGTCAGAGCTTATTGTATAGTATATTTAGTAAGCATGACTGAAATGTTTTTGATCAATGGACTGCGAAATCCCTGGATTTATCTCTCACAGGACGTTTAAGGGATTAAGTTTTGACTTGTGTCCTTTTGGCAGCGCACGTGAACAAAGGAAACGTTTAAACAGGTACACCCCCGATGTCCGGTGTCAATCAAAAGATGTTTACCCGACGACAGGTTTTGCTCTCTCTCTTTTTGCCAATCATCATCATCATCATTCAATAAAATATCTATGAAATTCGTATAAAAAGAAGTGGGAAGAAAGGAAGAATCCCTTATCTACTAGTCCACATCTGTTCGGAGTCCCTTCTTCTTTAAAATATTAAAAAAAAAAAATAAAACATCATCCTAGTTGGCTATCATCCTCTCCTCTTTTCTTCGCTCTTCATCTGTTTTGGCTTCCTGTCCAGCGGTGAACGATCGGGTTTCAAAACGGACGAGGAATCCGAACGTCTTTTCTGGGAAACGTCGCATATCATTTTTCGTTCTTTGACGATGCGCTTAATTTGTCAGCGCGGAAACCATTTAGGACGAAATTCGGTCCATATGTTTTAGATTTCCCTAAAAGTTTCGCCAGACACTCTGGCACCAGATTCCCGTCTCCCTCGCCCACGCATGCATCATCTCTTTCTCTCGCTGTTCCTACCAAAAACAGTGGCGTACGTTGAAACAAAATACACGCACGCATCGAAAAGAAAAAATATTCAAAAAACAATCCGAGTTCAAGTATAATTTTTGTTAATTTTCAGCTTTTTCATCTATAAAAATGTATCTTTTTAAACTTTAATTAACACGTTGACAACCACGGTACTGCGTATAAGATTGTTTTAAAGATTATAACAAACAATAAACATATTCTTTAATTAATAAATTTTCTGTTCATGTAAACCAAACTTGATTTTTTTTGTTCTTCCCTTAGGCTAACTATTCTTATTTAAACTAATACACTACGAATTTCCTCGTAGTTGCATAAATATGACAAGTAAAGAAACTACGAGATAACTCGTAGTTGGCGTACTAGGCAATAACGGAAACTACGAGTTATCTCGAGAATTTCAATTATAATTTAAAAAAAAGTAAAGTAACTGTATTTGTTAAATTATCAAACCAAATGATAATTATTTTTTGTTATTACAATCTTTTTGCTTTTTGCTGAATAGAAACATTATAAGTCACATACATAACTATGTTTTAAATAAAAATAGAAAACAATATAAAAAAAATGTACGAAATAGAAAGACGGAACATTAAAAAAAGTCGTCAGCTCTATTTATATTGTTCCACGAAAATACATTTAGATTGTTGGCCGGTGGAAGGAAGGATAATGATGCCGGGGATCGAGGAAAATGCATGCAAGGAAGGAAGGAGGTTTGCGATGTTTTATAATTCAGCTAATTTTCGAGAGAGCAAGAGAGAGAGAAGACTATGTCTGTTTGCGCAAACTTCGGCATCGGCTTTCGCCTCCGAAGACGACGGCAGAGATTGTCTGCCCTCCCCAACTTCCTCTCCCTCTTCTGAGCAGTTCTCTTGTTATTGTTTACCCGAAGAGGCAAGCAACTTCGCCTCTGGTTAACTTTAAGAAAACACTCGGGTTCAAAGGGGAAGAAGATATTCGTCGAAGACGCCTCTCCGCCCCGCAGCATCGGCATCAGACGCCGCTGACGCCGCCGCCGCCCCCACCGTCGACGACTTCTGGATTAATTTCGCATTTACAACAAGGACGAAACAAAAACGAAGCGAATGCGACGCCCCCGTGTTTGCGCAACAAACAGCAAACAACAACACGAACCAAACGCACAGCCACCACACACGCTATTATGTAATTATACACCGTCGCTACCCCATTTCATCATCGCTCATTTGCATTTGAGATTATTTCTTTTTTGTTGGTTTGCTTCAATTGGTTAATACCAGTCGATTAGATATTTCAATGTAATCGGCAATTTACAACTTTAAATTTTTTGTATTACATAAATTTATCGCAAACATTTAGTTGGTATTTGCAGTTTCCAAAAAAGATTTTCTTTATCTTTATTACACTCTGTAATCCGAGATTAAGTTTATCTGATTTTGTATAAATTTGTAAATATATGAATTTGGTAGAAACATTTGATAATCCTTAACTAATAAAACTTACTATCCATTATTTGATAAAAATATAAGATTATAACAAAATCTTATTGGTTCTTATTCGTTTGTAAATATTGCATCTCTCTATTACTTTTATCTTCGCTTTTGTACGAAGAATTTTCATCAGATTATAAATTCTATAAAAACGTGTTTGTATATACCAATAGATTTCTGCATTGTACACAACTATAATAATAAACACTATTAGTTGCAGCGCGATATTAAATTCAATCGAATGTTTAGAGCAAATAGATTTCACCTATTAATTAATTCTATGTTTAGACTAACTCAATTTAGTATAAATAATTTATATCTGATATAATTAAAACTGAATCAAATTAATTGAAAATATATTATAAAATATAATTGATAAGATTAAGGTTTTAAACATAGAAAAATTAGGTAATAAAATAATATTTTCTATAGTTTCCTTTTCAAATTTGAAATATATAATTGTTTCTATTATGAATTAGTCAGGAAGACTGGGTTGTGATAAGTAATTGGAAAATGAAAGAAATGTTTCTGTAATGTATCGCATAGATTTATTTCATTCTTATTGTATACTTTTCTTCTTGTCGAATAAATATATTTATAATATCGTGCGCATCAATTCGTGTTTTTTTTTCTTCTTCTTTTTCTTAAAGTTCTTCGTCTGTTAAATGTACATATAATATATATATATTTATATAATAATAATTGCATCTAAGTTGTTTAACAAACGATCCGAAATGTATGTACATAATCTGAAATGAGAGAGTCGGATTGGATTGGATTGGTTAATATGTTTGTATAGAAAGATTATAGAGATCAAAATCACGATGGTAATTCATCATTTAAATGCAGCTCGTCGCAACCGTTATATTAAATATATCAAATAATAGGAACATAACAAACTCTAAAATATATTTACAATAAAAATTATCACATAAAAAATTAAAATTCTAGAAATATTAAGAGTAGTAAATAATAATAATAATAATAATTAATTGTTGTTCGTGATGAGAAAGAGAGAAGATAGTTAATTGATAGACGATGAAAGAGATTGAGAGAAGATATAGATAATGTGGGATATTCTGCACGTCAGTCTTGATCATCGCGTCCATCGTAGATCACTTTTGGATTTGAGTATTCTTTCTCATCAATATTTCTGGGCGATGCAGTCCTGCTGGTAGTAGGCGGCGGGTGGTCTGTAGTTTGGCGGTGATGGAGGGATGGCGTGGCGAAATCCTCCGGAGAGTTGACAGCTTGGTGGCGGTGGGGCCGTCTCGAAGATGTTCTCCCTGTATCCGGACTCGGGGGACGTTTCCGGACTGTACCAGGGGCTGTACCTAGGTGTGCCCTCCTCGGCGGAGGCGGTGATGTATTGCTGCGGGGTGGCGGCGCTGGGGCAGTAGGAATACATGCCGCCGGAGGAGTGCAATCTCGGTGAGTAGCTGTGATGATGGGGTTGCTCTCCTCCACCCCTCGATGCAGTCATCAAACTGTCCACGCTGAAGGCGGCAGAGGTGTCCATCGCCTGAAGAGAAGCGGCGACGTCGCCGAGAACATGGTGATCCTGATGAACGATCACCGACTTGCTATCCTGCTGATTGTGATTGTGATGATGATGCTGATGGTACTTGCTCATGCACTGGCTCAGAACCTCGCTCGGCTCACGCTTCGGCTTCAGATCGAGCTTTGCCTTGCTATCTTCCAATTTATCCGAAGAGTCCCTTTTGATCAGTGTCTGATCTGATCCCTGCACCACCTGCCTCTTGATCGCTTCCTCCTTCTCCCTCAGAGCGTCCTTCTTCTTGAACCTCCTCCGCCTCCTCAAGTAAGATCCATTGTCGAACATGTTGTAGCTGTCCGGGTCGAGAGTCCAGTAACTACCCTTGCCCGGTTTCTTATCGTCCCTGGGCACCTTCACGAAGCACTCGTTCAAACTGAGATTATGCCTGATCGAGTTCTGCCAGCCTTGCTTGTTCTCCCTGTAGTACGGGAATCGCTCCATGATGAACTGGTAGATGCCGTTCAACGTGATCTTCTTGTCCTGAGCGTTCTGGATGGCCATCGCGATTAACGCTATGTACGAGTACGGAGGCTTCACCATGTCTTTAGCTGCTGACAGCTGGTGCTGTTGATGAGGCCAGGCTGCGTATCCGTACCTAGAGTACTGTTCGTAGGCATACGGATTTGGGGTTGCTGCAGAGGCGGCTGCAGCTGCAGCTGCTGCATATCCACCTCCTGCCGTCGCATGTCTGTAATAGGCGTTCTGGTGTTCGCCGAAGATCGAGTGCATCTTTCCTGTCTACCTTCTTCAGCGAGAAGTTGTTCCGTCGCGCGCCCGGAAGAGTGAGAGGTGTATGTGTATAGATGGATGGATTGTAGGTGTAGGTGGTGGAAAGATAACACAAGCAAACAAATTGGCGGAATTTTACACACGCTCTCTCTACTTATGTGCTTTCATTCCAATCGATCTTCCGAAAACAAGTTTAGCTCACTTAATATTATGATACACAACAAGGGCCGGTTTACACAGAGATTAAGTAAAAACAGAGTATGTTGCTTCTCGCCGAGACACAATGTTACTAGTGAAAACAGACGGAACCATGAGCTGCCGAATTAAAGAGGGCTGCGCGTCCGTCGCTTCGGTGGGGGGGTGACCGCAAAACACGCCCACCACTTTACCAGATGGCCAATCGAGCGTCGAGCTGGGCGTGGTCGGACCGATCAATTCCTCATCACGATCATCGAGCGGTCCCAAATATAAACCTTATTTCCCCCACCACCATCATCACCAACCCTGACGAGCAAACACACACACACACATCATATTTGTCACATCGTCATATTTTCCACCACAAATTCGATTCCGGAATTCCGTGCAACCCCTCGACCGTCTTCTTCCACCGATTATGTATGATGGAGCAACGGCCGCCGCCGCCGAAGAAGAAGTGGTTTATTTTCGCGAGAGATGAAATGAACACAAACACACATATATCATATATATATATATATAATACATACATATATATGCGAACGTGTTGTGTGTATGTTGGCAGCCTACGGCGAGGACGGACGAGCGCCAGAGATAACAATTCTCATACATACATACATACATACACATTCACACACGCATTCCGGGGATACCCCGTGCGAAGCCTCACTTCAGTCTGCAACGGAAGTTGATTAACATTGGAACCTTGCGAGTCCTTCCCGAAACATCCGTGCGCCATCCGACCCGAAGACTGAAGGACTTAAAGGATTACCTACGCGAAATGCACCTCGTCACACGCACACAAATCCCCTCTGGTAAGTCAAAAACTTACTTCGACAAATCCCGAAAGCTCCCCAAAAAAATAAAAAGAAACGAAGGAAGAAGAGAAGCGAGCGAAAATCGTTCCAGCATTAATTTATTCCGCGACGACGAGTGGTGAAGGGGGAGAGGATGGATGGTTTGGGTTTTTGGCCGTTCGGTTTGATGTTGGAATTGTGGGCAGAAGCTTTCGCTAATTGTAATTTCTATGGAAGCCTCGTTGCATTGCAAATATAGAGCGAGCGAGTTGTGGTGAGTGAGTGTGTGCGAGTGAGTGAGTGAGTGAGTGGCATTAGCGTTCGGTGTTTATCTAAGAGGGGGATGTGTTTATTCAGAGCCCCGGGAATTAACCATCCAACCGCTATTCGATCTCCCAGATAAAACCTCTTAATTCTCGAACCCTCGCACCCTCCTCCACCTCCTCCAGCCATCCGTCCTCGACGTCGAGGGGGTGGTTGGCGCGAAGGACGACTTTTATATTCCATTCCATTATTTATTAAATTACCCTCAAACGCTGCGCCCATAACGCTGCACGCACCTCAACATTATCAAAGCAATTACCCGATCGGCCCAACCCCTCCAACAACCACCGCCGCCCCTCCATTTACTTCATCCTAATCGAATGGGGACGCACGTTTAAAAGCCGGAAATAAAACGCCTAATGGATCCGCGTCGCCTTCGTGTGTCAACTTAATTAAAATGGCGCTCTTTGCGATCAGATGTTACGTCACGTCAGTGTTCCATTTGCGGATTAGTTCGCCGATCAACGTAATCACCACACGCCAAGAGTAAGCGAACAACGAAAGAGCTAAAAGAACTTCGCTTCAGGTATAAAAATCGATTGAAAACCCGAACCCACTACTTTGTCTAATCCTTTTACTCACCATCTGGAATGGTAATTAACTTTTACCACTTCTTTAATAGAATTTAACAGAATAACACTTGATCTACTATATTAAAAATCGAAAACAAACTTCAATCATGACATATTTTTTTTTTTTCAAATATTTATAAGCCGTGTTATTTATTTGCGTTTAACATCTTCAAAAGATTTACGGAAAAGTATTTTGTTATGATTATCTTGTACATCTTTTTCACGTGTCACCTCTCCCTGAAATCGACCTATATTTGCGTTCAAAAAAAATCTCGATGATGATGACATCTTCCTTCAAACTGTAAAAACAAGCGACGCGACTTTCGTTTTTTTTCGATCCTCCCGGAAACGGTCGCAAAAGGAAAGGAAATCGGCACAGGATCAAAGGAGGAGGAAATCTATATTAATATGAATGGAACGTGCGATTTGGACAGATCCTTTTCGCATCGATAGCAAAGCAAATAAACAAAAAACGCATATAAATTTATACGCTTTCGAAACCACAGAGTGCCATTGAAAATTGTTTTTGTTTTACGTGTAAACTACATGCATTGATATATTCTAAACACATCACAACAACAAAAATATTAATTGCTTAAAAATATTGATAATTTCCAATTAATTTGTAAGTTTATGATTCTTATTTAAAATTATAATTATTGATTTTAAATTATTTTTTT